TGTACCCATATATTTTAGAGTATAATTACTGATCTTGTGTGCTTGCTAAGTTGCTTCAGTCATGTCTAACTCTTTGCGACCCTATGGACCATAGCCCTCCAGGTCTCTCTGTCCATGGGATTCTCTAGGAGCTCTGGAGGGGGTTGCCATGCCCCCTCCAGAGGATCTTCCTGACCTAACCCACATCTCTTAAGTCTCCTGCATTGGAGGCAAGTTCTTTATCACTAGCACCACCTGGGAAACCAAATTATTGATCTTATTGTCACCTATTCTGAAAATAAATGTGGGTATTCTTTTTTTTAATGACTTCAGTGCAAACAAAAAGATATGGGGCTTAATCAACATATCCAAGTAATTCTACCCTTTAATCAGAAAAAAAATAAAAATTTTTGGTTTCAGAAATAGTTACTTATTAAAGAAACACTTAAATGGTTAACCCACTCTTCAAAAATAATTAGGACTTCTTTTCACAAGACAGGGAAGTTGCTGACAATCTTGGAAATTAAGACACCTGTGTCGAATTACTTCTGTAATAAAATTCGCAATCAAACCAAAATTACAATGAACATGTGTTTCTCTGGTTATAGGCTTGCATGTCTTAGGACTAACCTGCAAAATGTGATGCTATTTTGAGCACAACAGTTTCTAAATCATTTCTTAGACTAGATAATTTCTTGTATGCTTCTCCTCCATCTACCCCTCAAAACAATTATATATATTTCCAATGTAGGAAGGGTCAGTGAGAAAGTTTACCAGATTTAGTCTGTTACTAAGCAAGCCACTGTTATTACTGCTGCTGTTTTATTAGATCATAGATATTGGGACTGTAATGAACTTCAAGAAATCACTTTAAATTTTGGCAAAACAAAGATACCCCTTTTTTCAACAAAACACTTGATATCAAAGTGTCACCGAGTCCAATCTGGCTCTCCTCACTGCAAGACAGGTCAATTAAACAAGGGATGAGGTGTTGAGGAAAGGATTAAGACTTTATTTGGGAGGCTGGCGGACTAGTTACATTAAAAAAAAAAAAAACTTATCAAGTTCTGAATACCAGGTTCTTTTATAGAACAGGGTGGGTGTTGGGGGCGTATGTGAGGAAGTAAAGTCAAAAGACCATTCATCTTGCAAATATCTCTTGGAATGGCTAACCTCAGGGAGGGTATGTGTTAATTTCTACCTTCCTGTGGACAACCACATGTGGACAGGATCCTGAATAAAGGCACTTTAGTTTGCCAATCAGGCAGAGAGGCAGGGTTCGCTGAGGCATGATATTATGAACACTATCCTTTTAGTGAACAAAAATAATGTAAACAAAGGTTAAAGCAAAAGAAGCAGATTCAATATGGAGTCAGAGTTCGTTCTTCCCAGTAATAAAAGAAGGTAAGTGACTTGCCCAAGGTCATAAGCTATAAAATGCAAACGGATTTCTGACCTCCACCCTTGCTGGATGGATTGTTCTAGAGTCAGTCCTTCATTCTAAAGAGTCAGGTGTCCTGCTGAATAATTTCAGGGTCAGAAGCTTTTCCTCCTGAGTGGATCCCCCTTCCTGGCTGAAAGTGGCATCTGTCTGACTGACTTTACCTAGAAGGCTGAGCCTTCAGGACATATCTGTGAACAAAGCGAAGATTACAGGGGAGTGTAGCACATTATTCCCTCGGTCACAGGTTTTCGCTTGCTGGTCTGTTGCAGCACTGCTGAGGTTAGGAAGAGGAAGGTTCTTTGTAATCAGAGCACTAATCTGCTCACAGATAAACACAAGCATACATGCATGAAATCAAAAGTCCACACTAATGATCTTAATGTACATGCTAGCTCTCAGAACCAGAGGTTAAAAAAACAAACTCAGTTTTGCTTGGTTTTTGCTTGTTTGTTTCCTGTCTAATGAGGGAGGCAAGACTAGATAACTTAAGGAAGTACTTCCAGGCTTAGGACTCAGGCCACAAACTGTTAAATCTTCTGACCTTATATTTCACTCTGCTGTTTGGTATGAGCCCACCACGAAGGTCACGTAGCCAGGATAGTATTTGCTCACTCACAACTCAAGCAAAATTCCTAACCACCATGATTTCATTTATCTGCTTCATCAGTTTGCATAATCCTCCAATTCCAGTGACACTGAATTGACACAGAGTATAGTACACAGGTTGTTTCTGTAATAATACTTTTTCCACTCCAGGATACTGACTTCTACTTTTCATTTCATAACATCCCTGCCAAAAATAACAGGGCGATGCAAACATATTCGAACATGTGGTAAACAAATTTGTTTGTGTGTGTGTTAGCACAGTCGCATCTGACTCTTTGCAACCCCATGGACTGTAGCCCACCAGGCTCCTCTGCTCATGGAATTCTCCAGGCAAGAATAGTGGAGTGGACTGCCATTTCCTTCTCCAGGGAAAACAGATTTAGTACATTATTAATGTAAAAAATAATTGCCACTTCCATTTGTATAATTAGCCTCATATGAAATTAATTCTTTGAGTTGGGGATGTGTGGTGGTTGTGCTCATGTGTAGTTGTGGAAGAAGGCGATTGGAAGATATAAAGATAAGATACAAAGCAGGAGACAGACCAACTACTACAGTACCTAGAAAGTTGTAAGAACTCCATTATCATCTATTGATGTATGAATAAATGAATAAACAGATCACTGAGAGACTGACTCCAGATTAAATACTTGGCATTTTTCCACATGCCAAAACTTAACATTGAAGTCAGAGAAGATCTATACTCCTAAAAGACTTTATACTTTTTCTTAGCAGTCTCCCTCACGTAACACAGTGTTTTTGCATTGTGTCTGGTGGTCAATAAGTACTTCACAATAAAAATAATAAAACAAATGGCAGCAGTGCTTCTACACACTATACCAAACACCTCCATTTTATTATCTCAGTTATCCCTGAGAGGTAACACTGAGACAGGCTGAGACCTGGGACCCGATGTCCTTCACTGCAATGCTTACACATGGACCAATGTCTTCTCAAGTGACAAAATACAAAGAAACTATAAGGGACTGAAAATAACTGTGTGCATGCCCAGTTTGGACAAACCATGGACAACAAAATACAAAAAGATCAAAAGATCCCAACTGCTACTTCTGAAGAACCAAGAGCAAGAGGAGGGTACTGTGCATACCCCCTGCACACACCACCATCAAAGGGGTGGGCAAAACACCTAAGTCACCCCTCTGAGCCAAGCCCTGGACCTGAGGCTGTCACCCCATCTAAAGAACCAGCTTGTCCCCCTTGGGGAGGAAGTGAGCAAGAAAGGGAACCTGTTGCTTGTTTTGCTCCTCTCTGCTACAGCAGGGGCCCCAGTAAAGCCTTGCCTGAATTTTCTGTCTAGCTTCTTATCAATTTATATTGATTAATGAGGTCAAGAACCTTGGTCAGTAACAACAATGTAAAGTTGCCATTATGAGTTGCATCCATAATACAGATGAGTGAAGTTACAGACAAGGTTAAACCATTAGGCAATTTCACAAAACTAGTTCTGTTAGATTCAGAATTCAAACCAAAGTATATTTTATGTAAACTCTTGCTTTAGTAAATGAATAAGTGCATGACAAAATGAATGCAACTATCCTGTATTTTTATTACTGGGGAAGCTGGAAAGGCTTGTGTAGAGGAAGTTTAACTTAGTGAGTAACCAGCTCTGCAGGTCTCTGTTATACCAAGCTCCCAAAGACACCAAAGTATCACTGTAACCTCAAGGAGTCAACAACTGGGGAAAGGATACTAGATTCAGAAGAAAATTCAAGAGAAACACAGAGGCATTTTATGAAACTAATTTCTTCCATCTGGTTAATAGTCACCAACAGAAGCAGTGGAGGCATGTCATTCAGTTTTTAATAATTATGTCAAAATTTCTATGTTTAAGTGAAACACTGCACCAAACTTATAAACTCATTTTCCTTTAACAAAGATTCTTGGCAACTGGCAACAAATCATAGCCATCACACTGCTCATTACACTGTCTTGCAGATGCACAAATGAGGCTGTAAGAGACAATTCCTAAAGAGAATGATAGATAAGCCAGTTCTTATCAGGAATGTTTTTTCTATCTTTGTGTAAAATTCTTTTTCTCTCCTCTTTCCTGATGCCCTCAAATTCAGGCTCTTCATATGTTAAATAACAACTAGGAACTAAGTTTTTGGAAGTCTACACATTTGGAACAATGGATATTGCAACTTGTATAACTAGCCAAAATAATTAGTTGACTAAATGACCCAGTGAAAGAGGATTAACAAAATGTTAATCAAATGTTGTACATGAGGAAATAAATTCAACATTTTTAAAGGGCTTGTAAATAACAAAACTGGGACAGGAAGTGAACGTATATAGTCTTTAACAGGCTGTAACTGCATAATTTGGACTAGCTTTATTGTATTATAGAAATGATTTTTGGACTAGTTAGAGGTTTAAGAAGTGACTATTTTTTATAATGCTGAGCCTTATACAGTGACCAGTCTTTCAGCAAGCTAGTCGGGTGGGTTGTAGCAGCATGACAAATTTTTTTTGTTCCTGGAAGGCAGTTTGTTAGTTTAAAATGTGAGCAGCCTTTCTCTGCTTTCTGTAATAGCACCTACCAAAGAGCAGTGAAATTCCAAGTACTGAAATAAATCCCAGTGAAGAATTAAACATACTGATAATTTACATAATATAAGTCAACATTTAATATAAAGAACAACATTTAAAGAGTAATGCAAGAGCAGTTTGGAGAGTAACTTTATAGACAGAAACTGGGAATGTAAAAATGACAGAGAAAGAAGAGAGGAAAAAATTTGAGGTATCATACTTAGAGGCTTAGCTCATTTTCTTTTGATCTAAATCTCTGTGTCCATCAAATCCTCCACATTTATTAAAGTGACAATCATAATAAGTCTCTAAGTAGAGCTAATGTGTCCTAAGATACCATATAAGACTACCCTCTTTAGATATTTCAATGTGAAATGATCATCCACAATACCATCCTAAGAGAGTAATAAAGACAGATTACCTGGAGTTAAGAGGATGACTGACATAGTGATGAGTGAGCATACAACTAAAATCACCAGCAGGGCAATAGCAATTCCCTTCCAGTTTCTCTGTGGAGGGCTGTTACTTCCCAGTTCCTACCGAGAGAGAAAAAAAAAAGAAGTTTCATAATTATACATGCTCCAAGAGAAATGTATTCATAAAGGAATGATTCAGTGCATGGAAGAATCACAGTTTGAAAACTGATTAGCATCCTTTTCCTTTTCGGTAGCTCATTTAATTATTCAAAGGTGCATATATTATAAATGGCTATCTTTTGAGGGGCAATCTTACTTCTCCAAGAGATAAACCAGCAGAGCTTTATGCCTGCTGTCCAGAAATGTGGATGGCATTAAAATACATTGATTATGAACACTAGAATGATTGCCAAAATACTCTGCAAAATAATATGGAAATAAAGTGTGCCTATTTACATTTTTCTTGCTACAATGGACCTTAAAATGAGGATTTAAATATTAATATTCCAGAAGCATTATAGACTACTTTTTTAACTGGTAAGGGGAAAAAAAGATTAGTGATGGGAAAATAATTCAAAATCCCCCCTCAATGCAGAGCGGTACACATTTGTCAACGTTAAAAGTCCTCTTTTAACAGTTCTCCCACCACTCATAAAAATTAAGAGGACGTAGTAACTAAATTAAACAATTGCTTCCATAGCAACAGTTAATAACATCTTCTCCCTGGGCAGCATGCATGATATTGGCAAGGAGGTATGACTGATGGAGAAGGAGAAACTTGAGCATCTTTTACAATATGCATAGTAAAGCCTTTCAATTTTCAGATCTGTGTTCCGTTCTGTTGACTAGAAATATATGAGCATCATTCACTAAAGTAAAGCATAGACCACCCTGATTTGAAATACATGCCAGATTTTCTTTACAAAAAAGTTTATAAAACACTAAGTTTCTTGTTTCTTTCTCTCTGCCCCAATCCCCAATTTCTTTTACTCTATTCCCAATAAAACCTTCTTTATTGAAAAATAGCCAAATGATTTGGGGAGAAATGAAACAAAACATAAAGGTTTCCAGTTCACTGTGTATACACAAACCATCCAAGAAGCCCCAGTCTTTCTTTAAAAAAGATAAGTAAAATATGAGAGTAAACATTTGATAAACTATAAATGGGTTATTGTGACTCAGTTTAAAGCACTGAAGCCAATTTTCACATAGTGACAGAGGCATTCAATTCAGCCATAAACTCTTTGGACTTAAAAACTAGGTTCTAAATAAATGCTAGAAGAAATCATGCATAGAAGGTGTTTTCTTAATGTTTTCCCCTTCTCAGATCAGTAGATTTAGGCTTATCTTTCATTCTGATGAAGCAAATCCAGCAGAAGTCAATTTCACTCCTGTTTTCTAAAATGGGTCACTCCACACCTCTTGTTCATGCTTATTAACGCTTACTGTTCAATACCTCTACCCCTCCTGCATTTTGGTTAGAATTTCCATTTATAAGCTTATTCCATATAAGTTGAGACAGTAGATTATCAAACCATTAGCAAGAAAGTAACAACATTAAGACAAACAATCAGTGGTAAAGAATCTGCTTGCCAACGGAGGACACACAGATTTGATCCCTGGTCCGAGAAGGTCCCACATCCCATGGAGCAAGTAAACTGGTGTGGCACCACTGCTGAGTCTGTGCTTTAGAGCCCATGCTCCACAACAAGAGAAGCCACTGCAATGAGAAGCCTGTGCATTATAACTAGGGAGCAGTCCCCGCTCACCACGACTAGAGAAAGACCTGTGCAGCAGCAAAGACCCAGAACAACCAAAAATAAAGAAAAAAAAAAAAAAGACAACTAATAGCTGTCCCAGACCAGAAACACTTTTCTGGAATGCAATGTGACTGAAGGTCGATAGGTCAATTTCTTTGTTAGAATCTGCGTGATGTGATGAACAGCTATTCTCCATATAAGTTTCTACTTAAGACTACTCACGGGGCTTCCCAGGTGGCTTAGTGATTTAGAATCCATCTGACAATGCAGGAGACATAGGTTCAATTCCCAGGGTTGGGAAGATCCCCTGGAGTAGAAAATGGTATCCCACTCCAGTATTCTTACCTGGACAGAGAAGCCTGGTGGGCTACACCATCCATGAGTTACAGAGAGTCAGTCACAACTGAGCTCACACGCACAGGTCAACAAAAAAGTTTATAAAACACTAAGTTTCTTGTTTCTTTCTCTCTACCCCAATCCCCAATTTCTTTTACTCTATTCCCAATAAAACCTTCTTTATTGAAAAATAGCCAAATGATTTGGGGAGAAATGAAACAAAACATAAAGGTTTCCAGTACACAAAACATCCAAGAAGCCCCAGTCTTTCTTTAAAAAAGATAAGTAAAATATGAGAGTAAACATTTGATAAACTATAAATGGGTTATTGTGACACAGTTTAAAGCACTGAAGCCAATTTTCACATAGTGACAGAGGCATTCAATTCAGCCATAAATTCTTTGGACTTAAAAACTAGGTTCTAAATAAATGCTAGAAGAAACCATGCATAGAAGGTGTTTTCTTAATGTTTTCCCTTTCTCAGATCAGTAGATTTAGGCTTATCTTTCATTCTGATGAAGCAAATCCAGCAGAAGTCAATTTCACTCCTGTTTTCTAAAATGGGTCACTCCACACCTCTTGTTCATGCTTATTAACGCTTACTGTTCAATACCTCTACCCCTCCTGCATTTTGGTTAGAATTTCCATTTATAAACTTATTCCATATAAGTTGAGACAGTAGATTATCAAACCATTGGCACGAAAGTAACAATATTAAGACAAACAATCAGTAGTAAAGAATCTGCTTGCCAACGGAGGACACACAGATTTGATCCCTGGTCCGAGAAGGTCCCACATCCCATGGAGCAAGTAAACTGGTGTGGCACCACTGCTGAGTCTGTGCTTTAGAGCCCATGCTCCACAACAAGAGAAGCCACTGCAATGAGAAGCCTGTGCATTATAACTAGGGAGCAGTCCCCGCTCACCACGACTAGAGAAAGACCTGTGCAGCAGCAAAGACCCAGAACAACCAAAAATAAAGAAAAAAAAAAAAAAGACAACTAATAGCTGTCCCAGACCAGAAACACTTTTCTGGAATGCAATGTGACTGAAGGTCGATAGGTCAATTTCTTTGTTAGAATCTGCGTGATGTGATGAACAGCTATTCTCCATATAAGTTTCTACTTAAGACTACTCACGGGGCTTCCCAGGTGGCTTAGTGATTTAGAATCCATCTGACAATGCAGGAGACATAGGTTCAATTCCCAGGGTTGGGAAGATCCCCTGGAGTAGAAAATGGTATCCCACTCCAGTATTCTTACCTGGACAGAGAAGCCTGGTGGGCTACACCATCCATGAGTTACAGAGAGTCAGTCACAACTGAGCTCACACGCACAGGTCAGTTAAGACTACTCAGAAGTAAGAGTGACAGATCAGAGATGCAATGCTTTATGTATTAATAGAACCCTGTGCATGTATGCATGCTAAGTCACTTCAGTCTCTGACTCCTTGCAACTCTATGGACTGTAGCCTGCCAGGCTGCTCTATCCATGGGACCTCCAGGCAAGAATACTGGAGTGGGTTGCCGTACTCTCCTCCAGGGGACCTACCCAACTCAGGGATCAAACCCACATCTCTTACTTCTCCTGCATTGGCAAGTGGGTTCTTTCCACTAGCATCACCTGGGAAGCCCCGCATAGAAGACTAAGAAGGGCAAAAAGTTGTGAAATACTTATCTCAAGACCTAAGACAATGAAAAAAGGGGCAACAAACAATAAGAAGTGAGTATCTTGGCCAAGAATCACAAGCACCACCACATTTATTAACTCAAGGGGATTTGTAGGAAAAGGGAAAAAGAGTAACTGTAATATAACTGACTTTTCAGTCCAATAAAGGAATCAAGAGGAAATTACAACTTTATATCTACTGATTCTGATTTTGATTCACTCACTGAAACTGAAGGCAAATTACTAGAGAAATGACCTCAGAGTGCGTTATTGGTTTTTGAACATGATATAACTATAATATCTACCAAAAACTGTCTAACAGCAATAACAGATATCTTATGTATTTGGGTACAGTACTAGACACTTTATAATCACAATTTTACAAAATCCTCACAATAAATAAGAGTACTATTATTTTGACAAATTTGCACATCAAAAAATGAGATTTAGAGAGATCAATAACAATTATACTCACTGTTAATGAGTAGAATATCTCAAGGTCCAACCCATAAAAGTCTAAGTTCAGAAACCATGCTCACCCAACAATATGCTGTTCTAGAAGTAAGTATTTCTTGAATCAATCCATAAACCAATAAATCAAGGAATAATTTGAGCTTCTACATATTTGAAAAATTCAGTTTTATAAACACTCTTCTGAATTTTGCAATGCTTTCAAATAAATTCACATTTTCCCTAATGGCATAGTAGAAAAAAATATCATTTTAAAAATTATAAAACATGTTTGAGTAAAAAATATTTATCTGGTGTTCATATAGATACACATAAGAATGTCAGGCTCCTCTAAAAATGACCCATCACTACCTAAGGCATCTTCAAGTCCCTGCTTAGGAAAGCAGACTTAATGAACTCTTACTCTCATTCCCTCTTTTCACCCATTTTAAATTCATTACCATTATAATATTTCTCAATCTTGGTTTCATTTACATCACTTTATTACACAAAGCCTTTTAATGTCTCTATGTTATCTAAAGAGTTAAGTGCAAAGGTGACAGTCTAGAATAATAATTGTCTAAAGTCAAGCACCAGTCTTCTCATTCAACTTGATCTTTTTTTGAGAAAGACTACCCTATACTTCTCAGGTTATCATTTCCAACATATGCTCAAATACTTCAAACTTCCTATCACCTTCCCACTCCCAGGTTTTGCCCATCCAATTCCTTTCATATGTATCCAATTACAAACACTGTCAGTCACTCAACATCCTGCTTGAACATCTCTTCTCTTGGAAATTTCTTTTAATTACATAAGCCAGATAAAATTTTCCTTCTTAAAAAAAAATGCCTAACACACATTGTACCAAAAGGTTTGAGACAAACTCTGCAATTTAATAGCTCTG